AATTGAATTGAATAATAATAAAAAACTATTGCCAAAATTCTGGAAAAAATTACAACAATTTAGGACTACATATTTAAATATGTTACATATCATATCATTACCGAAAAAGACCTGTTATAGACACATTTTCGAAATATGCTTTGGGTGAGGCATTAAAATCAAAAAATGCAAATGATGTTTCCCAAGCCATGGAGAGAATATTTAAATCGGGTCATGGAACACCAAGAAACCTGCAAACTGATAATGGAATTCTGAATTCTTTAATTCGAAATTTAAGGTATTAACGAAAAGTTATAGGATAAAAAATTATTCAACTATCAGTACCATAAAAGCATCAATAGTTATGAATAGTTAGTTAGAATTAATGTGGCGTGAGTTTAGTTTCAATGGAAAAAATAAGTGGATAGATATGTATAAGCAATTAATTTATAAATATAATAATAGACTGAATAGAACAATAACAAGGGAGAACGGTATAGTCGAGTACCCCGACTATCAGATATCCGTTACTCTGCTAAAGGGACCAAAGGGAGATGGAGATATGCAAGCAGCAAAGCGAGATTAAAATGCGCCACCTACCGGCGGTAGACAGATTTAAGTGATATGGGCGTTAGAGTGGGCGTGGCAAATTTTTTTTTTTAAACAATCAATAGGTATTGATGAGAACAATTCATTCCATTTAAAATTTTTATTCTAGCATCAAAACTGTGGGAGCCACAGCTTTGGGCGTTAGATTGGGCGTGACACATTACTGAAACAAACTTGCGTTGCGTAAGAAGCTCAGGAATCTGTTACCGAGCTCAAAGCGTTCATCCGGACAGACGGACATGGCTAGATCGACTCGGCTAGTGATACTGATCAAGAATATATATACTTTATGGGGTCGGAAACGCTTCCTTCTGCCTGTTACATACTTTCCGACGAATATAGTATACCCTTTTACTCTAAGAGTAACGGGTATAAAAATGAGTCCAAGTAATGTCAATTCTTGCAATGAAAAACAAATATTACAGAAATCGTATAAACACCTGAAAATATTTCTTGCAAGTAAATTCCGTAAGGGGGACCACGTTCGTATTAGTAAATATAAACATGTCTTTGAGAAAGGGTATACACCAAACTATACGACTGAAATCCTTAAAATTAGAAAGGTGAAGAGTACATAACCTAAAACATACTTACTTGAAGATTAGATGATAGCCCGATTCAGGGCGAAGATACTTTTAAGTATAACAAATGATTTATTTAATTAATTTTTTTTTATATATTTATCTTATCTTATATTAAGTTTAATATTAATATTTTTGTACAATGTTTTAAAGTTAAATTAATATTAAAAATGTTTTTTACAAAATCAAATTAATTTTCATTTATATTTTCCAAAGTCTCGATCATAATAAAACATCTCCAATTCATCTAATTTATAAAAAAGTCATTTTTCAATATGTTCCTTTTGAAATTTAAGGCTATCTTATGATTTTCCATCGTTCACATAATTATTTTGTATCATCTCACCCAAGCAAAATGAATTTGGTTCTAGCCATTGAACATTTTCTAAAATATCTTTTTCGATTAATTTCTGATGTTTAATTGATGTCGTACCATGGTCTTCATTACTTAACTCTAAAAATTGTGTTTCATTAACATTACGTTTTCTTTTGTTATCTTTGCCACAAAGAATTTTTTTATTTACTTTAACTGTAGTTATTTTATGTGCTTTTGATCTAAACATTGTTCTATTAGCATATAGTGGGGCCCCAGTTAATAAAACGTTTTTATAGTCTCCCATTATAAGATTTCGTGAACTCACTCCCTTTGCTTTATTATGTGAAGATTCAACTTGATATATTTTATAACAATAAACCTTTGAGCACAGGCCTACAAATTCTGTCATGAGTTAACCGTTAAGCTCATCTTTAAAAAACCCTAAACTTTTTTTTGTTAACTCTTTTGAAGTTATATAGATTAATTCTTTCATCTGAATAGTCCGATGTATCAAATTTTGCTTCAAGATCATTACGAATATCTTTACAAAAATCTTCAGTTTCTATATAGATAAATGAAGCAGAAACCAGATAATTTAAGAGTAACTTTTCCTGAAACTTTGGCTTCATATATTGATAGTGAAAATCATACATTTTCCATTTCGATAAGTCTAATACTGCATATCCTAAATACATTGGCTTAATAAATATGTTTACGTCATAAGGGCGTTTAATTTCAGGAGGCAGTGTCGAGCGGCAGTTTTATCCAGATCCAGATCTCGCGCGCTCGCACTGCCGTCCGCTCTCCCTCTCCATCTCTCTCCTAAATATCAGCTCCGCTGTGGAGCGCTTAAGTTAAGTTAGACTTAATTAGTTCTTATTTCTAAGTGATCCCATAAAAGTCCCTGCACGTCGCGTAAAAAACCCAAAGTACCCCCGTGTTTTTTGCGTACTATTCGTTCTTGGGACTTCAGCTATTTTCATCGATCAACCCACCCCGCCCCAACAAAATAGAACAGACAATCTTTTCATTTGAATTGCATAGAAATTATCATTAATTTTAGTTGCACTATGAAAATTGGATTTTGAAATTAAAGTTTTGGCACAATGTGCTTGTAACGAACTGATTTTTGTGGTCTGCTCGCTAGGAGATTCGTGCGGCTATCTCAGTATATTGTGTGTTCGTCCCACCAAATTTATTTTAACGTGACCGCCCAGTAGCTCAGTGAAAAAGCACAGAATTCACGGGTTTGTATTTGGTTTAATGCGGGTATATTATTACAAATATCTTGGTAGCTTGGTTGGCCTTGATTCGTCGCTTGTGACTTTCGGTACTTCCGACGGACCTGATTGACTCGACGACCTCTCGCCTTGATGACTCGGTGCTCCAGTCCTGTAGCTCCCTGAAGACCCTCGCAGCTCCCTGCAGATCCTCGGAGCTCCCTGAAGACGCTCGCTCGCTGCTCGCTCCTCACGCGTGTCTTGGTGACTGCTGGTAACGACTCGGACTCGCGAGGGGGATCAGCCGTACGGGCTTAGGGAAGCGTCACCGTTCTCAAACTAGGGTGAAGAGAAGCTGCGCTCTCCAGGATCCCTCCTTTCGACACACCGCCGCCTGTCCCTTGCTCTGTACCGGATGGTCCCACTGGGGCTTCCGCTCAGCCCGCGCGGACAGTCAAGGCGGAACTCCAGGAAGCTGCCTCGCGCTTTACTTCGCTTCCACGCCTAGTGTAAACGAACGTTTGGTACTCGGGGTTCGGGCACGCCGCTCCGGGACCTCGCAAGTCGAATCCGTAGGGCTCTCCTGGACAATTCCACTAGAGACCGTACCGATCGACCGCTCTCACTTCGGGCTTGTTATACTCTCTCCAGACGTAACGCCAGGACTTTGTGGATAAGGTTAATCGACCGCCTTGACCTAGCCGTGTGATGCCCTCTGGACCTCAGCTACCTGCGTCTCAATTCGGAGATTCCTGGTATCCCAATCCCGAACGTCTCGACGTAGCAATCTTGCTCCTTGTAGGCTCCCACGGCGCTGCTTCTCTGGCGACTCGACTTGCTGTTGCTCCCTTGTAGATTATCTGGTTGTTTGATTGTTCACTTTGGTATCTAAGTGATCTTGACGGTTTGACTCCTTGTGATCGACTGATCCGGCTGCCAGCGCTCTGCGGCCTTATATAGGGCCTCCGGGAACCGTTATTTCCCTATTGCGCATGGCCCGCTGAATCTCTCCACTCCGGGTCCAAAGTCCGTGCCTCCTGGTTGACCCACTTGTCCTTCACGTACCGCTTCCAGTCGATGCTCCGCCCACTGCTGCCGTCCCGCTGATTCCCGTGATGCTGATGGCACGCCTGTGTGCCGCTCCACTGCCGAGATGTGGCACTAATTCTCAGGGTCCAAAGTTCACGGGAGAGTCCAAAGTCCGGTGGAGTCCCGTTATCCTTGCCCGCGAGGTATCCAAACTCTCTCGCTCTCCACCCTGGGTCTCCAAACTCTCTCGATCTCCATCCTTGGTCTCCAAACTTTCTCGCTCTCCATCCTTGGTCTCCAAACTCTCTCGTTCACCACCCAAGTCTCCAAACTCTCCTCGCCGCTCCGTTACTACGCGAATTCGCCGCGTATCTGGTAAGCGGCCGGCCATCTGCTGCTGCTTCTATTTGTGGGGAGTTATTCAACTCCTCACATTCCCCCCTTACTTCGGGGAACATTTAAAACTTGTTCATACTTTCCGGCGTTTCCTTGCTTATCCTAGCCTTCGAGTCCTTGTGATTCATGCGGCGCTCCCTCGTTGCTCCCTCGATGCTCCCACGACGCTCTTAACTCTGTTGAGTTTCTACAGCGCTGGTCATCCTCCTCGTAGCAACTTGAATCTCCCGCGCAGATATTTTCCATGACCCCACTGGGACATCGATACTCGTGGGCTATCGATCCCCAGCTCGCTGCTCATTGCTGCGTTCTACTCCTTTTATTGGTTCCTCCGCCTGGTCACACCATTCGTGCTGATCGATGTTTATTCGCATATCGATACCGACGGTGCGGCGTTGCCACCTGCTCGTTGCGATATTTCCACCTTGGCCGATGTTTCCATTTTCGTGTGCCCATCGATCGCACTATCGTCCAGTGCCAATCGATCGCCTATCGAGGCGCCCCCTTCCCTGGCTCATGGTGATTTTGCAACTTTCTAGGTAAGTTTTCTCATTTCCTCACTCCTTTCTATTTCATCCTTTCTCTCTCCATACGACCTCTCTCGCCTCTCGTCTATCTCTCGCCCTTCAATCGTCCTCAGCCGGCTGAGCCTGGCTCCATGCTGGCAACACTTTAGAGCGGGTGCGGAGAGGACTTCGCATTTGCTTCGCCGCAGGTGAGTATTTTGGTATTGTTTGGCTGCTTCCTGTATTATCCCAACGTGAATTTCAGGATGCCGGAGCTGCAATGCATGCCCCTTTCTTCTGGCCCCTGTTTCAGCCGCGTTTCCCGTCCTATGCCGGTTTTCAAACTCCGTTTTGTTTCTTTTATTCAAACTTTATTCGGGCGCTCCTCGAACACTCTCGTGCCCGCCAGCCCCAACCGGACGCGGAACGCGCGCCCCTCTCTCCATCCCCGCACGCTGCGCCTGCCGCCCAGGATGCGAACCTCCTTCACCGCCGGTGCCTCCGCGATCCCTTCGGGCCACTCGTGCTCCGCGATCTCTCGCCATCGCTGGCCCTCCGGCGCCGAAACCACCTCGGACACTTCGGGCGCCGAGTGCTGCCGCTTGAGCGGAGGTCGGCCGCTTTCCACGGGCTCAGGCCGCACCCAGGGTCCTCGCTCATCTGGCTCCGCGGTTACCGTCGCGCTCCCTGTTGGCATGGGCGTCGATGGCCCTGTCCTTGGCGTCGTCGGTCCGGTGCTCGGTGTCGGTGCGGCCCAATGCTCCGGTCTGCCGCGGGTCCTGGGATCCAGCGGGCTCACCCGAGGACCACTCTCTTCCCAGATTCTTGGCTCCTCCGTCGCCGCCGTCTCCTCCGCGGGTCCCTCCGGCCAGGTCCAGACAACCGTCTGCTGACGCCACCTTACCCCTTAGGCCACGAACGTCCGGGTGCTGTGGCTCACATGGGCCGCCGGTATGTCCGTCCGGATGTGTTGTTGCTGCGGCGGATCGGTCTCGTGCTGCCGGCGTCGATCGCGTTCGGGCTGCTGCTGCGGTGGTGGCTGCCCGCGTTCGTGCTGCTGCTGCGGTGGTGGCTGATGCTGCGGTGGTGGCTGCTCGCGTTCGAGCTGGTGCTGCGGTGGTGGCTGCTCGCGTTCGAGCTGCTGCTGCGGTGGTGGCTGCTGCTGCGGTGGTGGCTGCTGCTGCGGTGGTAGCTGCTCGCGTTCGAGCTGCTGCCGCTGTGGTGGCTGCTGCTGCGGTGGTGGCTGCTCGAACCTCGGCGTGGGTGGTCGTGCTGGTGTCCACTGTGGTGACCCCTCGTACCGCGGTGTGGGCGGGATTTCGGGCAGCCACCGCGGAGGTGAGGACGCCCAGTCTTCTGCCACTTCTGGCGGCGGGATTCAGGGCTCGGACGCATACCTCGGCGTGGGTGGGTACCCTGGGTTTTCCCACAGCTGCTGCTCCTCCTCCTCGGCCATCCGCAGTTGGGCCTGGCACTCCGGCGACTCCTCCATCTCCTTCAACCGCCGCTCCTCGTTCCGCCTTCGCGCCTCGCACTTCCGTCGAAATTCCCATGTAGCCGCTACCACAGCCTCGGCATGGCTACTGAGAGCCAGCTGGTCCTGGGGCGGCTCTTCGCTGGCCCACTCTACCTCCGCCGCGCCAGTCGGGATGCGGCCGTCGGCCCTGTTGACCGCTTTGCGAAGCCGCCATCGCCGCTCCTCCACCCGTGGGTCTTCTACCAACTCGACGTCGCTGTCGGAGCTGATGACCGGCTCGGGGACGCCCCGCCCGGAGATCCGCCGCGAGGTTCGGGTAGGCCGGGCTGTCGACCATCCTTGCCCCGGGTTGGATCCTCCGGACGGCTGGTGGGCAGGCAACATCTTGCGCGCTTCGCTCCTCGTCTCACGTGTGCTCATGATGCTTGTCGATTTTGATTGTTCATCTGAAGCCTGGGCTCCCTTCAACGACACCTCGGTTCCGAGCCTTCCTCTTCGCTCAATCCCGCTATTTCCTTCGGCCTCTCCTTCTTACTACCCAGATCTACGGTACAGATCTCTGCTCTGTGCCGTCTTACCCCTTCCTTCGGCAGACTGTTGATGCGTGTTTTTCCCTTTCCTCTGATCAGTCCCAATCGAGACTTTAGACGCTATGGTTTGCTCCCTTTGTGTTCTTAACGTTTTCCTGATGTAGTATCCTTGGAGTCGGTTTGTAGTATCCCTTTCGAATCCTTGGAGGTATCCTTTGACTCCTTTCGTAGTATCCTTTGCGAATCCTTGGAGGTATCCTTTGACTCCTTTTGTAGTATCCTTTGGGCATCCTTGGAGGTATCCTTGGACTCCTTTCGTAGTATCCTTTGGGCATCCTTGGAGGTATCCTTGTACTTTCAATGTTATTTTGCGTCTGTTGTGTCTGCTTGCTGTAGCCGCTTGCTTGTGTTTTCCGTTAGTTGCTGTTTCAGCTCGCTTACGTGGCTGGTCCGTTCTTTCTTTGTGTTTATGTGTCGTATTTTGCAGATTACTGGTGACGAAAAACCCATGACTTGGTAAGGTCCGTCGTATCTTGGGGCCAATTTTGCTGCGAGCCCCTCGGCCGCTTTTGATAAGTGGTGTTCCTTGGCCCACACGACGTTACCCACCTTTGGCGTCTATTGCCTCCTCCTTAGGTAACTCTACGGTTTCTCTGTCGTATAGGGCGCTCGGTAGTCTTGGTTCTCTGCCTTGGGTAATGAACGACGGTGTGTAACCTGTGGCTTCTGAAACGCTCGTGTTTACTGCCAGCATGATTTCCGGCCATTTTTCATCCCAGTCTCTTTGGTTCTGCCCTGCGAACTGCGCTATCATTGTTTTCACCGTCCTATTGGCTCTCTCAGTCGTGTTCTCCTGTGGGGTGTATGGAGCTGTGAACTGTTGATTGGCTCCCATTTCGGCCAGGAAACTCTTGAAAATGTTGCTGGCAAACTGGACTCCGTTGTCCGTTATGACTATTTTAGGGACCACATACCTCGCGATAATGCGTTCTTTAAAAGCTTTCTTTAGGGATTCGGCCGTCGCGCTTCGCAGCGGCACCAACTCAGTTTAATTGGAGGACCGGTCTTTCAATACCAGCAGCATTTGGTTGCCGTGCTTCGAACGCGGCAGGGGTCCGACGAAGTCCGCACATACCGTAGCCCATGGTTCCTCTGGCACCTGCGTCAGCATTTTCCCAGCCATTTGCATCTAATTCGGCTTCAATCTCATGTATTCCTGTACAGGGTGTTACCCTCCATCACGTAGTCCGGATACTTTTGCGGCTGGGTCCTTATCTTTTCGCGCATATCCAGAATCCAGCTGCATGCTGCAGAAGCTTCCGCCGCCGACGTCGCCTTAATCCCTCGAAGTGTTTCCGGCAGTGGCTGCCTTGACAAAGCGTCTGCCACCACGTTGAGTTGTCCTTTCCTGTACGCTATTTCGAAGTAGTACTCCTGCAACACCAGGGGCCATCTGGCGATCCTCCCTGAAGGGCTTTCTATGCTGTTGAGCCACTTCAGCGCCATGTGGTCGGTTACTACTTTAAAGTGGTAACCTTCCAGATACGGCTTTCGGATCGCCCAGACGATTGCCAAGCACTCATTCTCGGTCGTTGAGTAATTCTTCTCAGCGCCGTTGAGCGTTCGGCTTGAGTAAGAGATTACTTTTTCGCCTCGTTCAGTTTCCTGGGTCAAGATTGCCCCGATGCCGTAGTCGCTCGCGTCAGTTTGCAAGATGAATGGTTTGTCGAAGTCCGGGCATGCCAGTACGGGGTCCGCGACAAGTTTTGCCTTCACCTCTTCGAACGCCGTCTGATGTTCCTTTGTCCACACCCACTTATTGCCCTTGCGTAGCAGATCGTTGAGAGGTTTGACTATTTTTGCGAAGTCAGGTACAAACCGGCGGTACCATGATGCTACGCCCAGGTACTGTCGGAGTTCTCTTACTGTGGATGGTGGTTCTAGTTTGGCGATGGCTGCTACTTTTTCCGGATCCGTGCCTATTCCCTCGCTCGTCACTCGATGACCAAGATATAACAGCTCTTTCTTAAAAAATTGCCACTTCTCCGGGTTTAACATCAGATTTGCCTCCTTTAGCCGTCGGAACACTTCCTTTAGGTTGGCCTTGTGTTCTTTCAGCGAGCGCCCGATCACTATGATGTCAACCTGGTAAGCAAATTCGTGCGGCGACATTTCGGGACCGATCACCCGGTCCAGCACTCGTTGAAAGGTCGCAGACGCCTAATGAAGTCCGAATGGCATTACTCTCCATTGGAATAAGCCGCTCCCCGGCACTATAAACGCCGTATACTGCCTGCTGTCTGCTTTCAGTGGGATTTGCCAGTACCCATCCTTTAGGTCCAAGCTGCTGATGTACCGTGCTTCCCTCAATTGGTCGAGAATATAATTTATTCGGGGCATCGGGTAGGCATCCTTTATAGACTTGGCGTTGATTTGCCTAAAATCGACGCATAACCTCCATTTGCCCGACTTTTTTTTAACCATCACGATGGGGGAACTGTATGGGCTTGTTGAGTGTTCTATGTATCCCATTTGGAGAAGCTCGTCCACCTTCGCATTGATCTCCCCTTGAACTTTCGGATTCTTGGGGTAGTATCGCTGCTTTATTGGTTTGTCGTCTTTCATCGTGATCTGATGCTCTGCCATGTTTGACGCTCCCTTCATGCTGCTGAAACTCGCTAGCTCTGCCTCCAGGAATTTCATGCTCAGTCGCTTGTTCCCAAACGCGATTTCCACCTCCAGCTGCTCATCGATTCCGCCACATCTTCCGTCTGCCAACCTAACTTGCCGTCGTATCCTCGTAAGCAGCCAGGTCGTCCGCCAGCTCTTGGCTTATAAAGCTTGCTGTTGCCCCTGTGTCGATTGTGGCCTTGTATGTGCCCCCACCAATCGTCACCGCTGCGGACAACTGCTGCTCCTCCTCGATCAGCTTTCCTGCTAGTTTGGAGAGGTAGCATCTTGCGACCTCTCTGTGGCTGAGATCGCTGGGCATTTCCCGCCTGCTGGCAGCATTCGACGCTCCTGACGCCACCTCTCTCGCACACCCAGCAGAACAACAGGCGTTGGTGCCGACATCCCCGCGCCCAGTGTCCATGACCGCCGCACTTTCGGCAAGCCTCCTGGGGGTCTGTGATGTGTCTCGTTTCACGAGGCCTTTGTGTTGTACTTGGTGGCCTCCAAACATTGTTTGCTGGCTGCATCTGTTGCTGTTGTGGTGGTGTCCATTGGCCTCCGCGTGGTGCTCCTGTTGCCTGCTGCCGTGGTACTCGGTTAGGTGGCGACCATTGGTCGTTTCCCCGTGTCTCCTGGATTCCTGTCTCTTCGCATCTTCTGCATGTTACCTGCGCTGGCGATGCCGACTTGGTCTTCGAGAATTTACTTTCCTGCGCGAACGCTTCCCGCTCCTTTTCTAGTTCTTCATACTCGTCTGCTAATATCATCAGCGTGTCCAGTCCGACCCTTTGTATGCCCTTAGGAAGATCCTTAGACTGTGGGTGCAGTTTTCTTTGATGATCCTTAGGGTCTCTTTAGCGGAATAATTAAGTGGCCTCACCATCGTCTGCATGTCGGTCATGTAGTCTTTGAACGACTCGCTGAAGCCCTGCTTCCGTTGCCTGACCTGATCCTTCAGCCTGGTGAATAAGTCTCTCGGTAGAAAATATGTGAGGAAACTATCTATGAACTCCGCCCATGTTTTCCATTGTTTGTTGTTGGCGATAAACCACTTCAGAGCCCTTCCCTTCAGCAATTCAGGCATCGCTCGGGGAATCATGTCTAACTCCAAGCCGTATGTGTTGGCGGACCATTCCACCTGTTTCAGGAACTCGAACGGTTTTTCCGCCCCGTCGAACCTGAACGACCATTCACGGATCTGTTTAGCGATCCTTGCATAGTCTGACTGACTGGGTCTCGAGATCAGCGCTGTTATTTTCCTGTTTTGGCTTGATTGTCTCCTGATTGCCTCCTTTTGTAGATTGTCAATGCTCAGGCTTGCCACTAAGTTGTCCCCTTCGGCGTTTGTTAACGTGATGTTAGGGCCGGCTTTGTCGTGGTATGTAGCTTCCAAATCGGCCCAGATGTCAACGAGTTGTGGGTCATTATCCGTTTCTGAGTAATACTCGGATAATGCTTTTCTCTTGTCCTCTAATCGGCCGTCCAGGGTGACATTAAGCCTCTGTGCGACATTGGCGAAGTCCCCCTTTTTAAGCCGGTAGATCCACTTCTTCCCCATTCTGTTTAAATTGCTTTCACTGGTGGGACAATCACGTTGGGCGCCAGATGTAGCGAACTGATTTTTGTGGTCTGCCCGCTACGAGATTCGTGCGGCTAGCTCAGTATATTATGTGTTTGTCCCACCAAATTTATATTAACGTGACCGCCCAGTAGCTCAGTGAGAAAGCACAGAATTCACGGGTTCGTATTGGGTTTATTGCGGGTATATTATTACAAATGTCTTGGTAGTTTGGTTGGCCTTGATTCGTCGCTTGTGACTTTCGGTACTTCCGACGGTCCTGATTGACTCGACGACCTCTCGCCTTGATGACTCGGTGCTCCAGTCCTGTAGCTCCCTGAAGACCCTCGCAGCTCCCTGCAGATCCTCGGAGCTCCCTGAAGACGCTCGCTCGCTGCTCGCTCCTCACGCGTGACTTGGTGACTGCTGGTAACGACTCGGACTCGCGAGGGGGATCAGCCGTACGGGCTTAGGGAAGCGTCACCGTTCTCAGACTAGGGTGAACAGAAGCTGCGCTCTCCAGGATCGCTCCTTTCGACACACCGCCGCCTGTCCCTTGCTCTGTCCCGGATGGTCCCACTGGGGTTTCCGCTCAGCCCACGCGGACAGTCAAGGCGGAACGCCAGGAAGCTGCCTCGCGCTTTACTTCGCTTCCACGC